CTTGTTTCTAGAAGGAATAACCCTCCAAAATCAGCATGATCAGCTGCAAGCTCTAAGCAGTGTTCCTGAAAAAGTACTTAAAGGAGGTCCAAAGAGGTTTTCACAGGGGATCCATGAGGTCCTTAGAGCCCTCATCATGAAGTAAACTGGCTTTTGCTGTGAGAAGTGGCTTTCACTTCTTCACTTTAATAGCAGGAAAACAGGAAGGAAATACCAGAAATAGGAAGTGTACTCATCTAAATAAACCATGGTAACTTGCTGTTTCAATGTCATGTAGATTGCAAAATGAAAAGAAAAATAGAAAAATATGCAATTCTTACTACATCTCTGAAGAAATCATCTTTGGAAGATAAAAATACAATTGTTTATACAAACAGGAGTCCAAGCACAGTAAATGATATGCAGGCAATATAGTAATTATCACCACTGCAGCAACACCTGGCTTGTCAAGCCATGTAATTGTGGAAGATGAACAGATATAGTGTAACACTTAATGTTTAACTCCAACAAAAAGATCATCTCAAAATAAGGACTATTAAGTTGTAAAGAAACACAGTTACTCTTTTCAACTAATTTACACTAATTTTTCATGTTAGAGGCATAATGAGAGTTCAAGTGTTTATAATCTGTATATGCTTTGCTTTTTTACAGGTCAACACTGGGTACACAAAGAATGTTCATGTTTTAATCAAATCATCAAGGAATTGTTTATTCAAATCAACAATTCTTTGTGCATTTCTAATCAATTCTTTCAGTCTTGTCATAAATCAAATCAGCTAAAAGAAACATTTTCTGCTGGCGCTTAATGAGTTAATTTCTCCCACCTGCAGTATTTCCTCCAAAGCAAGCACCAAGTTTATTTTTACAGCTGAATTCCTAAATAGCAGAGGAAGGGAAGGTTTGCTGCAACTGGGATTTCATGTTATGCTTTTCAGGAATTATACATTTCTTTGAGAAATATTCTGGTCATTGAGTGTAACGGCGATTTGAGCTTTTGGTGAATTACCTTCACTATATTTTATTGTACTTAGAAAAGAAGAAAGAAGCTACTAAGAAAAAATGCTGTCTTTAGAACAGTGGGAAAGGAGCCATAATTTTTCCAAGGTAAATCTCTGCTGTTACCTTCTGAGTGAGTCATCTGTCCCCCCCAAGGGGTATAGTTCACTTTCTGAGCTCTTAAAATAGACTTTTGTAATGGGTTTGTTCTTTATCAGACACTTTCTTTCTGTAGCTGCCTTAAAAGGGCTTAAATTCTTCCAGTTACTGCCTGATTGCCTCATTTCATATCCCACATGTCTTTGGCAGAGAAGAATGTTGAAGCATTAGTTTTTTCTTCAGTAACAGATTTTACCATGCAGATTTGAATTGGAATGCTGAAAAATACATGCTAGTGCTTCTGATCACATAGCAATTACTAACTGCAAAGGATGACTCCTCTGGTTAGAAATAGTAGAGCTAGCAAGAAAAGCATTTTGGGGCAAACCTTAAATGGGACAGCTTTTAAAGCTTTGGTGTTTGTGCTTACTAGTTTAAAGGATGGAAGAAGTATGGCATGAAAGGGGAGGTTAGCTTATAATATTTGCAGTAGTTTTATTAAAGTGTCAGGAAAGAAGGAGTAAGGGATGCTACCACACAGTGGTTTTGTTTGTGAAACTGGAACTGGTTCATTTCTCATGTGTATCATGTAATTTTGGTTTCTATCAATACTTGCATAACTTTCTATTATGCTTGGGAAACGGGGATCTTTTCATGTTCCAATTTAGTAACCTAAAAAGTAATAACTCCCATCAGTTGTTTAATAGGTCTGTTGTTATGTTCACTGTACAATGTCTAAACCCTGTTGTTAAAAGTAGCACTTTTTTGCTTCAATAATTCAAAAATTTGGGGTCTTTACTGTTTAAAAAAATGTAATTTCACTCTACAGTAAGAAGGTTGATAAGCTGGTGAATGTTTTGTCTTTCTAGCTATCTGAAATAATTTCCAGGTGAGAAGATAGCACTGGTCTCCATATGCTGATTGTAAATCTCTTTCTATCGAGAGCACTAAGTATTAAATTACCTTTTCAGGAAATAAAAGCAGCTTTTGTTAACATGGTCTGTGCTGTGTTGGAAAGCTTTCACCTTCTGCTGCGTGGCCCTGCCCTCTGGTGGGCACGCAAAGGCTGGCTGAGAGCCTGCTTTTACATAAACTGGAAGGTTGCCTCCAAGAAATCTTACCTAATCTTAGCAAGTCTTGAGATTTAAAAACATTTCGTTTTCCCCATTGTGTTTCAGTCGCAGTTTTGCAGTCCTGTGGCAGCAGCAGAGACATTATCACATGCATCTTGGGATATTAAAGTAAAATAGTAGGATTGATGACACTTGCTTGTTATTGTATTGCTTTCTTCTTCTCACCATATTTTGGACATCTCATACGGTTGAAATGAAGGTCAAAAATGTGTTTTCCTGAATGCCAGCTTGCTTGCCATTTTTGTCTGTGATATTTTTAGACACTTTGAACTTTACACAGCTGAAGTATCTGTTGTACATAATTCCAAATTAAAGACGTGTTCCAGCATATACTTTCATTCTGGAACTTCTTGGCTGTTCTTCTGTAATCTTATTAGGATTGGGGATAGAGAAGTTTCTTTTTCCTATTTAAAAATACCTTTACCATGTTTCACTAAAGCTTTTCTGTCTTTCTCCCTATGCCACAGCTTGCACTTTATCACTCCATGTATTATCCTTCCAGTTAAAGATATAGAAATCAGAAAAGTTCAAAATGCTCTTAAGGATCTAATCTGAATTTATTACTGTTTCATTTTGAAGCAATCTGATACATGTCTTAAGGAGATAGAATCTTGTTTTATAATCCACTGAGGTTTCTTAAGTATAGACCATGAATCTGATCCTCCAAGCTAGTAGTAGCATAAATAGATGTTATGTAATGGTTCACAAAGTCACCAGGAAGCATCAGGTTCTTATTAGGAAACTGCTGAAGGAAAGACCTGTATAATACTGGTGGTTTGGGGTTTTTTTTCCCAAGTAGAAAGGAAACCTTGGGTTTTAACTTTTTTTGGTCACATTTAAAAAGTATGACTTCCCATAAACTATGTTATAGTATTTTTAAAGTAATATATGCACTCAAAATGAAAAATTCACACAGGAAAGTAATCTGAAACTTCTTCTGAAATTACAGTTGAATTGGGCTGCCAGATGGGAGCTTATGCTCAGAAATATAGGGTTGAAATCACAACATAGAGGGTGTAGTATTTGAATTTTAACTACTAGAAACTACTTGGATGAAGGAAAGTTATGAAACCTAAGTCAAAAATCTCGGTTGTGAGTAAGAAAGGCTTGGGGTTTTTGGTTTTTTTTTGGTTTTTTTTGTTTTTTTTTTTTGTTTGTTTGTTTGTTTGTTTGGGTTTTTTTGTTTTCTGTTTCTTTTTAATGAGGACAAAGTTGAAAAGAGGTTAAATACTCCAAGTTTATTTGGAACATTATAATATAATACGTATCAATAGAAGTATATATTAATAATCTTGATATACATCCGTGGAGGGAGTCCACCGCAGGAGCATCACTGAGTTGATCAGAGGAATTGGAGCACCACTCCTATGAGGAAAGGCTGAGTGAATTGGGTTTGTTCAGCTCAGAGAAGGGAAGGCTCTGGGGTGACTTAAAGGGGCCTTCCAGTACCCAACGGGAGGCTGCAGGAACAATGGAGAGAGGCTGTTTACAAGAGCCTGGAGTGACAGGACAAGAGGGAAATGGCTTCAAACTGAAAGAGAGTGGGTTTAGCTTAGATATTGGGAAGAAGTTCTTTACTGTGAGGGCAATGATGCACTGGCAAAGGTTGCCCAGAGAAGGTGTTGGTGCCTCATCCCTGACAAAGGTCAGGGCAGGTTGGACGGGGCTCTGAGCAACCAGGACCAGTGAAAAGTGTTCCTATGGTAGGGGAGTTGGAATCAGATGATCTTTAAAGTCCCTTCCCACCCCAGACAATCTGATTCTGTCATTCTATGAAGTTCATCTCATAAATGAACAGCAATGGCAGGCCTATCTGCTTTGCAAAAAATAGCTTTAGTGATGCAGTGGTAAAAGGTATGTGAATGTCTGTGTATAGATGCTTATATTTTTAATGAAATGTGTATTGAATGTTGTGTATTTATTAGGATATTGGAAGGCTTATAACTGAAAACACTTGAAAGATAGTGGAACAAAAAAAATCTTGTGCTGCCTTCTTGCCCAAGCAGCATCATCCAGTGGCCTAATAATGAGCAATTTTAATAGAAGTAAGGATAGATATAAACATCTATATAAATCATACATCTATGTATAATTTGTATCTCCTGAGTCAATTGAGATTTTCATGATAGAGGTGATATCATCTAAATTCTTCTACAGGTTTCTGTACAGTCTTCTCCTTGAGTACTGTCCCATGGAACTCTGGATTAAGGCTTTTCTTTCCTAATTTATAGCAATTAAATATTCACCCAGTAGTCACTTTCTTCCCAGAAAAGCACTTCGGATAGAACCAAGAAGATTTCTTTTACTGTTGTGCTTGATTAGGATAAGAATGAACAGCAGGGACAGTAACACTCAGTTCCTATGCAAAATTAATAATAATGACCAACAAATTATGTTCAGTGAATTGGGAAGGATGTTTGGCATCGGGAATGGCTGTACTTCATATGCAGCTGCAATAATGCTAGCTATGAGATGAGAAAGTACTTTCCCCTTCTCATTTTATGAACAATAATATCCTTGCAGTCCTACTGCCTATGACCACAGCTACTGTGGGATGTGGGAATCCCTGCTTTTGTTAGGACTGCAGGAGGGCATCCCAAACAGGTGTGTTTTGAGAAGGCTTAACTTATAGTAAACAAAATTATATCCGAAATTACACTTTATACTGAATCCAGTGTTTATTAATCGTTTTATAAGCCTTGATTATGAATAATGCACACCGTAGCACAGGCAAAATACATAAATGGAATGAAAGTATTTAAGCATTCAAGTTTTGCGTTGTTCAGCGTTTTGGGGGACATCTGATGCTCAGAGGGAAGGATTTGCCGGTAGGAGCAGCAGAGCCATGGGGAACGGACGCTCATTCAGCGCCTTTGATCGGGAGGTCACGGCACTGGCAGCAATGTGCTGCCCAGCGCATTTCAGGAGCCATCTGACGGACCGCGGGCTTCTGGAAAAGTCACGGGAATGGGCGCTGTGTGGGTGAGGCTGTCGCAGCGTTGCAGGTGCAGTAAGCCCGCAGGAGCCCTGGCGGGACTCCACAGGCCGTACACCCATCCGTGTGCATGCCTGCGTGTGTGAGTGTGCTCCATGGGCGCCTCGAGCGCGGCTCCCCATGGCCGGCCAGCGGGACTACAGCTCCCAGCGGCTCCCGCCCACATCCCGCGCCTGCGCACGCAGTCTCTCGGGCGGAGGTGGCCCCCTGTTCTTTGAGCGCGAACCCGGCTGCGGCAGGACTACATCTCCCAGCGGCCCCCGCGCACATCCCGCGCCTGCGCAACCGGAGACGGCCCGGCCGCACTCCGCCGTTGTCGCCGTCGGTGGGTGGGTGGGGGAAGGGAGCGAGCGGGAGGAGGAGGAGGGAGGGGGGGGAGAGTTGAGAGTTCACCCGCCGCCGTCGCTGCCAGGCCGGACTCATGATTCCCATATGCCCGGTAGTTTCGTTCACCTATGGTGAGTAGCGGTGCTCGGCGTGTCCGTGCTTGGGGAGAGGGCGGCGGGCGGGGGTCGGTCCTGAGGAGCCGAGTCTGACCCGGCGCTCCCGCTCTCTCTCTCTCTCCCTTGTCCCTCTGTGTGTCCCGCTCTTTCCCCACCGCCTCCTCTCGCCGGGCCTCCTTTCATGGCCCCCGCCGCCGCCGCCCCTCGGTCGCCGCCGCCGCAGTGCCCAGCCGGCTGGGGGAAGATGCCAAAATGGCCACCGGCAACTACTTTGGATTCACCCACAGCGGGGCTGCTGCCCAGTACAGGTGAGCACCGCCGCGACCCCCCGGGACCCCCCCAGGGCCCCTCTCCCCGGCCGGGACCGCGGGCAACTCCCGCCCCTTGCCCCGTGCCGTGGGCTGTGCTCGGATCCTCCCGCCGCGCCCGCGGGTGTGTGTTCTTATCTCCCTGTGTGCCTGGGGGTGGGAGGTGGGGCTGGGCACCGCCGGGAAGGAGGAGGAGGATGATCAGCGACGGCATCGGGTCTCCAGGCCCTTAGATTAAAATGGCCACTTGCAGTCAGCCAGCAGCACCGGCGAGTCGCCGTGTGCCGCCCCCAGGCCCGTCTCCTGCCTCAGCTTCGGGGAGCACAGGCCTTGCTCCCCAAGGCTTTGCTGTCATCGTGGGAGCCCAGAATTCCTTCTAACATGGCTTGAAAACCTACCTAAGCGAGGCTGGATGGATCAGGGAGAGATGGAGCACCGGAAAATAGCAGGGGACTTAATCCAATTGAAGTAGTGTGTCTAAGAAAGTAGAGAAGGTACTTTCATGGACAGGTACCTTTTAAAAAAATGTCCTATTCTGATTTCTAAGACCAGGAGCAGTATTCTAGTGGAAGCTGGGGACCCGTGACTGTGTTAGACAGTATACATACCCGTGTCTTACGTGTCTGAATAGGTCTATCAATACAGACCTCATATAGATACACTGCCACAAGTCTTTGTATCTTAGTAGTTTTTGTCCATCTAAATTGTGGCCAGAGTGTTAAAAAGTAATTGGTAGCATCTATTATATCACAGTTTCGGACATCATATTACTTAATTTGCTAAATCCAGTCAGGAACATCTTTGCAATTTTTACTTGTATTGGAGTGACACCTTAAAGTCCACATTTGAATCTTATGTTGCTCATTCCATAAATCTATAATAAACAACTTCCTCAATCCCTAAGTTGTGGTGAATAAGATAAAACCCAAAAGAATAAAGCAAATATATCAGAGATTATTAACAAATGAATGCAGAGGTGTACTAGTAGCTAACAGAAACTAATAGCATTAGACTACATTAGCATAACTAATGTAGTCTTAGGAATGTACATTTTTTGTGGAGGTGCTGAAATAAGTCCGTGTTTTCCATTGATTTTTTTTTTTCCTGAAAATGGATGTGACATACACTGAATTTAATTTACTCTGGTGTTTAATAGTGGATTAAATTTAGCTAATCTAGTTCCTTTGGGTGCTCACAGTGCATGTATGTGTTTACATTTTACATGTCAGTTATAGGGAATATATAGGACATATATATAGAACTTCCTTTTAAGTATAAAGGTTAAGTGAATAATAAACCAAGATCTGTATGTCTGCAGTTTTGAAATGCAGATGAATTTTTAAAATCATCTTTTATTACAGGGCTGAGGTGATATTTAGACTAAAGATCCTGAACAATTCCTTTGAAGTTACATAATTGGAATAGCATTCAAGTTTAATTGCTGATCCTAAGTGTGTTTTTGAGAAAATGGAAAACAGATCAAAAGAACCTTTTTCATTTGCTATCATAAGTTTAAGGTACTGTTTGATTTGCTATCAGTTAAAGACTCTACATCCTATAAATGATTTGTGTGTTTGCCACATCTGGAAGTGAAGACACACAGCAATCAGTGTTTAAGTAGTCCTTTCATAAGAAGGAATTTAACATTTTGAGCTGAAAACACAAGAGTCACTTAAAATGTCTGAAGGGAGCTTACTTTTACGAAGCGGACTTGTTAGGTCCTTACTGATGTGTTTACAGAGTGCTACAAATCATGTATTCCACTCTAATATATTAGAGAAAGAGATGTGGTGGCAGGGGAAGATGGTAAGATTTGATTTTACAAGTCTTTAAGTTTTTTTTCCAGTATTTGAAGTGACAGTTCACAGAATTAAAAAATCATCTTCTTGGAAACCAGGGCAATAAATAAACAAACAAATGTTTTTCTGCCTACTTAATGCATAGGTGAACCTCATAAATATTGAAAAATAAAAAGTATTTCTGGATGCTGAACTAACCTATGGATTCTTAAAAAGCTGCTCCACGTAACAAGTTGTTTTATGAGGAGAAAAAAAAATCACACTTGCAGTTGAAGTCTTTAGTTCTTTATACAAACACCATTTGGAAGTTCTGACACTGTAGTTTTTATAGCAGCAAACAGAAATTTTCATAATAAACACAATATTGGTCACATTTTAAAGGTTCTCTCTTGCCAAAATGGCTGTGAAAAATTCTGAAATGTTGGAAGAATATTAGTCTGCAATTTTAGATGATCCAATGCTCCCTAATGATAATAATAAGAATTTTATCAATTTCAGCACTTAGTTGAAAAATTTGTGCAATTCTTTTTAGCATACACACCTTTCTTGTAATATACTAAAGTATAAATATCTCAAAATATATCAAGTCTTCATCTGGAAACATGCAGAGAAAATAAAAAGCCTAAACTTTACATCAGCAAGAAGACAGTCTAAGTAGAATCTGCTCAGTTTCAAGGAATAGAAGAGACTCTTCCAGCTGGACCTGCAGTCATTGTCAGTCACTTGCCTGCCCGCTCAGGGCTGGCCGCGTTGTTAAGGGCACTGTCCAGATGCTGTTGAGCACTGACAGACTGGGGGGCTCCTCCACTTCTCTAGGAAGCTGCTCCAGTGGTTGACCACCCTCTCTTTATAGAATTGCCTCCTAATGGGCAGGAAAGCTCTCCTGGTGCAGCTGTGAGCTGCTCCCTCATGTCCTGTCCCTGGATTACAGTAGGGAGGAGAGCTCAGTACCTCCCCGTGTCCTTCCCTTCTTCAGGAGGCTGCAGAGAGCAGTGGGGTCACCCTTCAGCCTCCCTTTCCCCGAAGTGGACAAGCGCAAATTCCTCAGCTGCTCCTCACAGGGAGTTCCTTCCAGCCCTCCCACCAGCTTTGTTTTCCTCCTCAGAGCACCTTCAAGGGCCTTTCCATCCCTCTCCAGCGGCAGGGCCCAGCAGGCCCCATGTGAGGTGGCCCCGAGGCTGAGCCCAGCGGGACCATCCCCTCCCTGGGCCGGCTGTGCCGGGCTCGGGGCTCTGGGCTGGGCTTTGTCCTCGGGGCTGCCCGGCCGCTGCTGACCCACCCTGAGCCAACCCCAGCCAGCCCCCCCTCCCTCTGCAGCTGTCCAGCCACTCCTCTCCCACTTCATCCCTGTGCTTGGCATTATCCCATCCCAGGTGCAGAATCCAGCATTTGAACTTGATAAATTTCACTCCATTAATGCCCAATGCTGCAGTCTATCTAGATCCCTCACCAAGGCCTCTTGTCCCTAAAGAGCATCCACAGTACCTCCCAGTTTGAATCATTTGCCAAGTTGCTAATGGTCCACCCAAATGTTGGTTGCCAGATGAAGCCCAATTCAATACAGCCCTTTGAGTGCTGCCATCCAGCTGGAGCACTGTGAACCTGCTCATGCCACAGCTGGGCAACTTGCTGGAAAAGGATGCTATGAGGGACAGTGTTAGCAGCTTTAGTCAAACTCGAGCTGCATCCACTGCCTTCCCTTCATCCAGGCAGGTGACCTTAAGATAGAAGGATAGGTTGGTTAAACAGAACTTTGCTTTATGAAACTGTGTTGACTGTGGGAGATGATTGCATTGTTCCTTAACAATTCTTTCACCTTCCAGTAGCACTTAGTATCTCCATAGCTTTTCCAGGAGCTGAGGTTACACTAATAAGTCTCCAGTTCCATTTATTGCCTCGCGCCTTTGTAAATGGGAATTACACTGGCAAGCTTCCAGTGAGCAGTGACCTGCCCAGACTTCTAAGGCCTTCAGTAGATGATTGAGAGGTCTTGCTGTAACAGCTGCAGGCCCATTCAGTACTCCAGGGTGAATCTCATCAGGACCCATGGAGATGTGGGAACAATCAGTGTATAAGCTGATCCCTCAGAATTTGAGTATTCACAGTTGTGGATCTCCCACTCAGAAGACTCAAAGGAAAAAATCTGCTCTATGAAGTGATTGCTGAAAGGTGCTTTTAAGGAAAGTTTCTGTATTTAATTCTAGACTTAATTGCAGACTGGTGTAAACTCTTTCTGAATTGCAGTTCCTCAAAATGACAGTATTCTAATTTGTGTTATTAGTAGTGAATTGTAGAAGAATTAGAAAGGACCCACAGGGAACATCAAAGTCTAACTCCTGGCCCTACACAGGACATCCCCAAGAATCACACCACGTGCCTGAGAATATTGTCCACACATTTCTGTAACTCTGTCAGGTTTGCTGCTGTGACCACTTCCCTGGGGAGGCTGTTCCAGTGCCCAGCCACCTTCTGGGTGGAAAAACCTTTTGCTGATATCAAACCTAAACCTCCCCTGACGCAACTTGAGGCCATTCCCCCGTCACTGGTCACCACAAAGCAGAGATCAGTGTCTGCCCCTTTGTTTCCACTTGTGAAGGCCACAGTGACATCTCCTTCAGTCTCCTGGCTGAACACACCAAATGACCTCAGCCACTCCTCACATGGCTTCCCCTCCAGGCTCTTCACCATCCTCGTTGCCCTCCTTTGGACATTGTCTTACAGGTTAATGCCTTTTTATATTGTGGCACCCAAAACTGCCCCCAGCACTCGAGGTGAGGCCACCCCAGTGCAGAGCAGAGCAGGACAGTCCCCTCCCTTGACCAGCTGTTGATGCTGTGCCTGATGCTCCCAGGACAGGGCACTGCTGACTCATGTTCAACTTGCCATCAGCCAGGAGCCCTAGGTCCCTTTCTGTGACATAGCTTTCCAGCATCTCCTTTCCCAGTCTCTCCACACTTCCAGGGGTGCCCTCTCCCAGGTGAAGAATTTAAACTAAGACAGTGGAGCATAGAAGTCTCTTGTGTCTTCCTGGAATTCCAGCTTATGCGTGGCCATGGTGGGTCATTTAAGTACTTTGTCATCCTTCACATGAAGAAGAAATTAAAGTTTGTCCAAGTTTTAACCTTAAATACTGATATTTCAAGTGATTATAAAGGTCAGGTTGATAGATGCTTAGGTGGTAGACCTTGGATTTGGAAAATT